TAACATGTGGAAACTGGATCTCAAGAAGTGACAAAATAGTCTAGAAAAGAAAGCACAGAATTGTTGCATTTGGGGGGATAAAGTTGAAGAGATGGTGGCTTGTACAAACAAATGGTATTCTTCTTTAGAATAAACTACATCTTCTGCCTAAGAGACACTTTTGTGACTTTGTAAGAACCTTAGCTTTGCCCAGCCTCAGCTGCCTTATTTGTAAAATACAGGTTAAAAAATCTGCCTAAAGGCCAAGGTTGTATCAAGTGAGTACTTGGCAGGCCTTTCGACTCCATGACCTATTATTCTAGGAAACTTACAATGCCAACACTAAACCAGGGGTTGAGAGAATGTTGCCTTCTTTATACAAAGCCCAACCTTCAAGGTACTTCATTTAACATTTAAACACCTCTCTTAAAAAAAGAGAAGAATCAAGCACCGCAACTGACTACCTCACGCCCCACCTACCTCCTGGGTTATCAATCCATTTTCTCTGCTGCCCCTGTGATATCTCCCAGGGGAACATCACTTCCCCCCTTTAAAGCTGTGGCCCGGGGTGCCTGGGTGGCTCAGATGGTTAAGCGTCTGCCTTCGGCTCAGGTCATGATCCCAGGGTTCTGGGATCGAGTCCCACATCAAGCTCCCTGCTCAGCGGGAAGTCTGCTTCTCCCTCTCTCTCTCTGTCTCTCATGAATAAATAAATAAAATCTTTAAAGCTGTGGCCCTTTGTTTCCCTTAGCACAATTAAGATGGATTGGGAGATCCAAAGGATGTTAGTTTAAAATTCAAAAGTCCATAAATCTATCCAGTAGCTATGAACATACCTGGTGCCTAGATCATTGTTTCTTTTTTTTTTTTTTTAAGATTTTTATGTATTTATTTGAGAGAGAGAGAATGAGTGTGCGTGTGGGGGTGGGGAGAAGTAGAGGGAGAGGGATAAGCAGACTCTGTACTGAGCACATAGCACTCGATCCCACAACCCTGAGATCATGACCTGAGCCAAAATCAAGAGTCGGACGCTTAACTGACTGAACCACCCAGGCTCCCCAAGATGGCAGTTTCTAAATGCCATTCTCCACAAAAAGGAATCAGGGTTCCTTGAAGACATGGCTGATTCCAAGTGGAGCAGAGGAAGCATAAGATAAGCCTGGAACATTTTTGTTGTGCCAGGAACAGAGGCAGTGCTAAGAGGAAAAAAAAAGTCAGGGTGAAAGGACCCGGGAGCCAGATTAAAGGGGCTTCTTATGGTCAAAAGTGGTACAATTTGAGTATTAAAATAAGTAAGGATAGAAATGGATTATAACTTACTGGATAAAATAAAGGCCCATATTGATAGTAAATAGATGAATGAATGAATGAGGAGAAAGGAGTGTTCTTCTTTGTAGTTGAATGCCAAATGATAAAAGTAGAGGGATTGCTAGAGTTAGAAAATCACGATTTTGCAACCTTTATGATGAAAGTTGGTTTGGGCAAGGATCACGAGGGGATACTAAGTCTAGGCGGGGAGTAAAGCGGAGCAGGATATTTGCATATTCTCAGAATGTCTCCTCATAGATTGTTTATTAGTTGCAAAGGGGAAAATAGTAACTGTACTGTGGGGAAACCAGACAACCCCTTGATCGATTTTGACTTTGATCAAATTACATCACCAATAAGAAGCAAATGGACCTTGGGGTTGACTTCCCTGAAAAGAACACACATGATTTACATCATATTCCAGCTCAGAATGCAGAACCTGAATCCAGTCAAGAGGAAACATCAGGAAAAACAAATAGATGAACATTCTATAGAATGACTGGCCTGTATTCTTTAAAAATGTTAATGTCCTTAATGACAAAGAAGGCTGAAGAACTATTTCAGTTAAGTTTAGTTTACTTTAGTTTAAGGAAACAGAAATATGACAACAAAATGTGATACATGATCCTGACCTGGGATCTCGTATGAGAGGGAAAATGCCATAATGGGCACTATTGGGACAACTGACAATTTTGGAATAACGGACTTTAAAGGATAGTGTCAATGTTAAACTTCCTGAATTTGATAATTGTGCCATGGTTATATTTAAGATAACATTCTTCTTATGTTCGCTAATTGAATTTAAATTAAAAAAATATTCTTCTTCTTAGGAAATATGCACCAGAGTATGAGAGATAAAGGGGCATATTGTATGAAACCAACTCTCAAATGGTTCAGAAAAAAACATGTTATAGCACATATACAAAACAATGATTAAGAAATTTGTCAAAAGGTGAAAAATCGACAAATTTAGGTAAAGAGTATATGGAAGTTCTCTGTAACTATTATATTATTATTGTTTTGAAATAAGGAAAGTATTTTTAAGGTACATAAACAGAAGAGAACTAGCCAAATGAGGACCTAAGGTACGTAAGAAAAATTCCAAGCGTTTAGTCAAATTCTGACCTTCCTGTAGCTTGCTCCCTTTCATTTACTTTCCTAAAAAGGCTCTTACCATCAACCTCAAGAGCTGCCATATCATAGGTGCCCCACCCAGCTTTTAGCTCCTCAGCCCATGGCCTGCCTGTGATGGTACCATTTTCCTTCCCCAGTCCTGTGGAATCTGGCCACTTCAATACACTGACCGCTCTAAACCAAAAACCAAAACCAAAACCAAAACAAAACAAAACCTATTCCAACATTGCAATCCACCCAGGTAGGTATTCCCAATATCCTCATTTCCTGTTTGATGAAAACACGATTTCCCCAGGTCAAGGGCAAGATGGGTATCCGAACCTACGCATGGCTTCACCCTCCCTGCAAGCAATAGATTCAGAGCATACAGATAATAAAACGGCCCTAACACTCACACACCTATGAATTATGTATGTGTGACAACAGAAGCAGGCTACATCTGTGGTTAAGAGCCAGAGGAAGATGGCCGAAATTTGGCTTTGACTCCACCACTCAGTTATGTGGCTGAGAGCAAGTCAACTACTACCTGGAGCTCATTAACCATTCACTCAACATTAGCCATCCAGTAAGTACCAGATTCCATTTTAGGAAGCAGTGATACAAAATCTCTGCTCCCAGAACTTACATTGTAGTTGGGTGAGACAGAAAAAATAAATAAATAAATATATTGATAGATGATAGATAGATGATAGAGACTGAAATATAGACTATGCCAGATACTTACACGTGCCATGAAGAAAAACAGGGCAGACAATAGAATAGCAAGGGCAAGAACCAAAGGTGAAAATGTAATTTTAGGGACACCTGGGTGGCTCAGTCGGTTAAGCGTCTGCTTTCGGCTCAGGTCATGATCCCTGGGTCCTGGGATGGAGCCCCGCATCGGGCTCCCTGCTCAGCGGGAAGCCTGCCTCTCTCTCTCCCACTCCCCCTGCTTGTGTTCCCTCTCTCACTGTGTCTCTCTCTGTCAAATAAATAAATAAAATCTTTTTTAAAAATGTAATTTTAAGTAGTATATTCAAGGAAAGTTTCACTAAGGAGGTGACATCTGAACAGAAATCTAAAGTCAATGAGGGAACGAACCATGTAGATAGATGAACTCTGAGGCAAAAGGGGACAGCAGGTGCCAAGGCCCTGGAGCAGGGATATGCCTCGGATGAGGGATGACTGCTTAATTCTTAAACTCTTCGAAGGCAGGGAAAGGAATTACACATATTAGGAGCTCCATAAATGCTGATGGAAGAGAGGAAGCAGGAGGGACACTGCCATATTGTATCCAGAGATTGAAAGGTTGAATTTTGAGAATAGGAGAGTAGGAACACCCAGCTGGCTTAGTCAGTAAAGCATGTGACTCCTGATCTCAGGGTTGTGAGTTCAAGCCCCACGCTGTATGTAGAGCTTACTTAAAAAAAAAAAAAAAAATAGAAGAGTAGAAGCCTTAGCTTATAAAGCTGGAGAAAACCTGGTGATTAACTGATACTAGGTCTTGTCTTTCTGACCTCTTAAAAATATTTCTCAAATGGAGATGATTTAAGAATTTTGAAGATTTTTTAAAAAGATTTTGTTTGTTTGTTTGTTTGTCAGAGAGAGAGAGAGCACAAGCAGGGGGAGTAGGAGAGGGAGAAGCAGGCTCCCCACTGAGCAGGGAGCCCGATGCGGGACTCGATCCCGGGACTCCAGGATCATGACCTGAGCTAAAGGCAGTCGCTTAACCAACTGAGCCACCCAGGTATCCTGAAGATTTTGGTTTTATTTTTGCTTTCTAGCTTTGTTTTGAGTTGAAAATAAGGATTTTTTTTAAATTTGTCTTTTTCACTGAGTTTAAGACATTTTGCAGATATATAGAACTCTTTAAGAATAAGGCTTAGTGGGCGCCTGGGTGGCTCAGTCGTTAAGCATCTGCCTTCGGCTCAGGTCACGATCCCAGGGTCCTGGGATTGAGCCCCACATCGGGTTCCCTGCTCAGCCGGGAGTCTGCTTCTCCCTTTCCCACTCCCCCTGCTTGTGTTCCCTCTTTCACTGTGGGCAGGCACTTAACTGAACCACCCAGGCGCCCCTTTAAAAAAAAATTTCACATTCTCTATTATTTGATAAAAGGTAACAAACTTCAAAACATTCGGAAATAATATAGTTGAAGGTTTAACTTTATTATTTCCCCATTATAAAAGTAATGCATATTAATTATGTAATAAAAGGGAAGAGCACAAAAGGTATAAAAAATTAATTTTAAATTGCCTATAATCCCATCCCAGGGAAAATTATTAATATTTTGCATATTTCATTTTATCAGTCTTCTCCTATGCATGAACACCACTCAGATATTACTATATACAAAGCCTTGTATCCAGCTTTTTCAATATAGCGTTATATTAAAATTATCTTTTCTCATATCAATAAAAATCTTGTTTGTAAACATAATTCTAATGGCAGAGTACCATTCCATCATCTGGATATACTGTAGTTTATTTAAATATTCTCCTAATAGCAAATAATTAATTAGAGAGTTAGTGGATTAAGGCACAGAAAGGTTGTTAAGGTCACTCTGTTCTTGAAAATACAGGAAGGGAATGCACAGAGACAGTGGGGGTGGGGGTGTGTGTCAGGGCCAGCAGCAAGGAGGAAGAGGAGGAGGCTCAGAGGTCCTGGCCTAGCCTTTCCAGCTCGTTGAGAAGGAAGTCCATATCAGCCCGGGTCAGCGCTGGGTTGGCCACAACCATGCGGAAAAAGTTGCCCCGGGTCCCATGGGGCTGGTAGCCTATCATCATGGAGCCCTCCTTCACCATGCGCTCCTTGAGTACTGGGGCCACCTGTGGAAGGGTTGGAGACAACTTCCAGCTGCAGCCTCAGTGCACGCTCCCCTAGGCACACTTCCCTCTCGCTCAGGTACCTTTCTGAGGGAGCACTCATTGCTCAGCTCCTGACCCTGGCCCCAGGTCACCTTCCCCACTACATTCCGCCTGCTTGGCCTTCTCCAGCTTCTTTTTTTTTTTTTTTTTAAGATTTTATTTATTTATTTGACAGAGAGAGACACAGTGAGAGAGGGAACACAAGCAGGGGGAGTGGGAGAGGGAGAAGCAGGCTTCCCGCCGAGCAGGGAGCCCGATGTGGGGCTCGATCCCAGGACCCCGGGATCAGGACCTGAGCGGAAGGCAGACGCTTAACGACTGCGCCACCCAGGTGCCTCCTTCTCCAGCTTCTGCATTATTTCCTGTCTTACCTAACTCCAAGTTGTCACACGGGCCATTTTCTGCCAAATCCTCACTGTTCCCTGGCTCCCAGCACTGCTCTACTCTAACATCTAGCCTTTGTCATCCTTAACACCTTCTTCTTCCCTCTCTGAATTCCTGGAATATCTGTGATCTGTACCCTGTAATCTAACACATAATTTACAAGATTGCCTTGAACATATTGGTTTCAGATAGGTAACTCTAGTTTTCTAAATAACCCCTTAAGGGCAAGAACATTCTTGTCCTTTCAGATCATCTGCAGCACCTAGCACCAACCTATCCTTAGGGACGTGACGTATGTCCTTTCCTCTAGGAGGCATGTCTGGACCGGCCTTATACAGTTACTCTGTCCCCAGCATCGGGGAATAAGGCTTCATACGGCGGTCCTGGGCCCGAGTTCCCAGCAGAACTCCCATGGACTACGTACTACACACTGGTGACTTCTCCTGTAACATCCCTCTCTGTCTTCTTTTCATTTTCCAGAAACATACCTTATTTCCTATCCCCACCCCCACAGAAATGAGGACCAGTTGGGGTTGTCTTCCAGTTCACACCCCCACCTCAGGAGCAAGACTAGCAAAGGGACCTGCCATGCCACTCAGAGCCAGCAGGGGGCAGAAACACACCAGAAAGCATCACAGTTCCCTAAACTGGGCTATAACCAGAGACCAGAAGACAGAGCCTACCTTAGCCAGCCTTTCACTGTAATCCGGGCTCTCCTGCTTCCCCCGCAGGCTGGGGGGCACGAACCAGAAACACACATTGAGAAACTCCGGCTGGGAGGAATGAGGGAGGAGAAGGGGTGAGCTGTGGAAGGGGGATGATCCCCCCTTACTGCCCCTCTTCCCCGGTCAGGGCTTTGCTGTGTAGGACAGCCTGGGGTGGGGAGGAGGATGCATACCTCCATGACCAACTCAAATCCTTCTCGCTTCTTCAATTCCTCCACCAGGTACCTGCGAACACAGAGAGAGAGAAAGAGAAATCACACATGGAGGAGGAAAAGCAGAGACACAGAAGCAGAAGAGACCCAGAGAATGAGCCCAAAGACCCCCCGAGAATAAGAAAAATGGGAGGAGCGGGGCAGTGGGTGGGGCAGGATGGACCAGATGGAACCCCAGGGGAGAGGACCTTGGCGCGCCCCCACTCCTACCAGGCAAGGGCAAAGGCCTGGTCGACGCGCCGCTCCAGCCCTTGCCCGCCCTGTGCTTTCCACATGAGCCACAGCTTCAGACAGTCCACGCGGCGGCCACATTGCACCACCTTATCTCCTGTGTCCAGAGCCACGTCGTAGAACTTGTCTTGCTGGAAGAGGTAGCTGGCCTGGGACCCGTGGCAGCGCCTAAGCAGGTTCTGTTGGTTGGGGTGGGGGGGAGTGTGGGGAAGACTGTCAGACACCCCCCGGAGGCCTCCTCCAGAGCTGCACACGGGGATTTCTTAGCTCAGCCCACCCATTCTTTCCCGGCCACTAGGCCCCTTTCTCTGGGTTTTCTCTCAATACCCAGAGTTCTTCCCAGATTTGGTCTAGGATCCCTTCAATTACAACTGCAAGCTGGAAACCTCTTCCTTTGCTTGAAGACAGGCCACAGTGGGGGAGGGGGTGGGGGCAGTACAGCGGATGAGGCTGGTCACGGCTCCTGGGCTTCAGATGGGTTGGTGAGGAGGACATAATAAGGCCAGGCCCCTCTCGAAGGTGGGCCAGAGAAAAAGGCAGAGATCCAGGGTGGGAGGTGGAGTGAGGAGAGGGCAGGGCCGACCCACCGAGGTATCCCGGAGAAGAAGAGCTGAGCACTGCAGGCCTGCTGTCAGAAGCTTGTGAGGATTCCAGGCCACGGAGTCAGCCCTGCGGGGGGGGGGGGGGGGGGGCGGGCAGAGCAAAGCTGGATCAGCTGGCTGCTCCTCAACCAGAGCCCCCCTCCTTCACCACATCTTCAGTGAAGGGGCTTGAGTCTCACCCTGGCCTTCCCGCGTCTGATGTCTGACTTCCCAGCCCCAGTCCACTCTCTCCAGCGCCCCTCCCACCAACCTCCTTCCCTCCTTCCCATCGGAAGCGCCCTAGTCCAGGACTATTCTCTGGGTCAAGGAATTGAAGGGTGGGATTCAGGAAGTAGGTGGCCGTATGCACCTCTGGATCCCATCCAGTAGATGTCTATGTGTCTGTGACAACAGGACGCTCCCACCCCAGGCAGCCTGTGGAGCAAAAGGAATACCGTGGGCCTTGGCCTTGGCTCAGCCCACCCCACCCTCAGGCCCAAGGCTCACTCACATCCACATGGAGCCACAGCCCGTGACGCTGGCACACGTCAGCAATTGCCTCCAGGGGGTCAAAGGCCCCCAGCACAGTAGTGCCAGAGGTGGCGCTAACCAGGAACGGCACAGCACCCTGTGGCAAAAACGCAGAAGGAGAAAGAGACTGTGAAGGGATCTAAAAAGCTACCCAGAGCCTAGGGCCAAGCTGTCTCTAAACTCTTACCGCATGCCTGGCCTGGGCCCTTTCAACCTTACAACATGCTACCGTCCCCCTTAGTTCGCAGGTGAGGACACTCAGATTCAGAGGTGTTAAGAAATTCATCCCCAAGCTGAAGCTCTGGAGATGAAATTCAATCCTAGGTCTGTCTGCTGGTCTATTTCCAAAGCTCACACGCTTCCAAAAACTTTTAGTGTCTTGAAGATCAAAATGCTATTTAAAAAATTCTAATGGTACAAAAGTTCATGAAGAACTTGAATTTTTATTTTTAAAAAACAACCACAAGGAAAAGCCCAGGCCCATATGGCTTTGCTGATGAATTCTATAATACATTTAAAAAAGAACTGATACCAGTTCTTCACAAATATTCTAAAAAACAGAAGAGGAACACTTCTGAATTCATCCTATGAGGCAAGTATTACCCTGATACCAAAACTAGATGAAACATCACAAGAAAACCTCAGACAATATCTCTTTGAATATAGATATAAAAATCTACAAAACACTAGCAAACCAAAATCAGCAACATATAAAAAAATTATGTTATGACAAAATAATTTGTCCTAGGAGCACAAGCTCAGTTTAGCATCCAAAAATCAATTAATGTAACACACTCGTTTTTTTAAAGATTTTTTTATTTATTTGACAGAAAGAGAGACAGTGAGAGAGGGAACACAAGCAGGGGGAGTGGGAGAGGGAGAAGCAGGCTTCCCGCCGAGCAGGGAGTCAGATGCAGGGCTCAATCCCAAGACCCCAGGATCATGACCTGAGCTGAAGGCAGATGCTTAACGACTGAGCCACCCAGGCGCCCCGATGTAATACACTCTTATCAACAGAATAAAGGGGGAAAAAACGCATCTCAATAGACACAGAAAAACATTTGACAAAATCCAACACTCCTTCTTGATGAAAATACTCAACAAACTAAGAGTTGAAGGGAATATTCTCAACCTAATAAAGGGCAACTACAAAAAACCCACAGCTAATATCGTACTCAAAGCTGAAAGACTGAAAGCCTTCCCCCTAAGATCAGGAACATGACAAGGATGTCCACTCTCCCCACTTCTATTCAACATTATACTAAAGTTCTAGCAGGGCAATTAGGTAAGAAAATAAAATAAGGGGCATCCAGATTGGAAAGGAAAAAAGCAGAAGCCCCACATTGGGTGTAGAGATTACTTAAAAATCATAAACAAACAGGGGAGCCTGGGTGGCTCAGTCGTTAAGCATCTACCATCAGCTCAGGTCATGATCCTGGGGTCCTGGGGTCAAGCCCTGCATCCAGCTCCCTGCTCGGCGGGAAGCCTGCTTCTCCCTGTCCCACTCCCCCTGCTTGTGTTCCCTCTCTTGCTGAGTGTCTCTCTGTCAAATAAATACATAAAATCTTTTAAAAAAATAAAAATTAAAACAATCATAAACAAACAAATAAATACAGAGGACCTGAATGGACATTTTTTCAAGGAAGACATATAGATGGCTAACACATGAAAAGATGCTCAACATGACTCATCATCAGGGAAATGCAAATCAAAACCACAATGAGATATTACCTCACACCTGTCAGAATGGCTAGAATCGAAAAGAGAAGAAACAAGTGTCAGCAACAATGTGGAGAAAAGGGAGCCCCTGTGCCCTGTTGGTAGGAATGTAAACTGGTGCAGACACTGTTCCTCAAAAACTTAAAAACAGAATTACCGTATGATCGATCTGTAATTCCACTATTGAGTATTTACCTGAAGAAAATGAAAACACTAATTTGAAAAGATATATGCACCCCTATGTTTATTGCAGCATTATTTACAATAGCCAAGATATGAAAGCAACCTAAGTGCCCATCGATAGATGAATAAAGAAGATGTAGTGTACAAATGTACGTGCACATGCGCACACACCATGGAGTATTACTCAGCCATCAAAAAGAATGAGGTCTTGCCATTTGCAACAACATGGATGCACCTAGAGAGTATAATACTAAGTGAAATAAGTCAGACAGAGAAAGACAAATACCATATCATTTCACTTATGTGTGGAATCTAAAAAACAAAACAAATGCACAGAGAAGGAAAGAAACAGACTCAAACACAAAAAACAAACTGGTGGTTGCAGAGGGGAGGTTGGGGGAGATGGGTGAAATAGATAGAGTGGATTAGGAGGTACAAACTTTCAGTTATAAAATAAACAAGTCATGGGGATGAAAACACAGCATAGGGGCTCTAGTCAATAATATTGTAATAATGCATGGTGACAGGTAATGAGCACACTTATCGTGGTGAGCACTGAGCACTGTATAAACAGAACTGTTGAATCAATAGGTTGTACACCTGAAACTAACTTCACACTTTATGTTAATCATACTTCAGTTGAAACAAACAAACGGACTAGGAAAAAAAGAAGTAACAAGTATTGGTGAGAATGTGGAGAAACTGGAACCCTCATCTGCGGCTGGTAGGACTGGAAACTGGTACAGCCACTTTGAAAAAACAGTCTGGCAGCTCCTCAAAAGTTAAAGATGGAATTACCAGATGAGTCAGCAATTGTCCCCAGGTATATAACCAAGAGAAATGAAAAACATACGTTCACACACACTTGTACACAAATGGTCGGAGTGGCGTTACTCAGAATTGCTAAAAAGTGGAAACCCAATGTCCATCCACTGATGAACAGATAAATGAACTGTGGTAGATCCAATACAATGGAATATTATCCAGCAATGAAAGGAATGAAGTGCTGAGAGACTCTACAGGATGAACCTCGAAGACAGTATGCTAAGTAAAAGAAGTTCATCACAAAAGACCATGCATAGTGTCAGTCCATTTATATGTAAAATCTACAATAGGCAGATCCATCGAGACACAAACTCGCTCAGTGTTGCCTAGTAGGAGGTTTGGGGAAAATTGGGGATTGATGGCTAAAGTGTGTGTGGTTTCTTTTTTGGGGTGATGAAAATGTTTTTTTTTTTTAAGATTTTATTTATTTATTTGACAGAGAGAGACACAGCAAGAGGGAACACAAGCAGGGGGAGTGGGAGAGGGAGATGCAGGCTTCCCGCTGAGCAGGGAGCCCGATGCAGGGCTCAATTCCAGGACCCTGGGACCATGACCTGAGCCAAAGGCAGACGCTGAATGACTGAGCCACCCAGGCACCCCAAAATGTTCTAATATTTATTGTAGCAGTGGTTACACAACTCTGTTAAAAACCACTGAATTGGACACTATAAGTGGGTGAATTGTATGGCATGTGAACCATATCTCAATACAGCGATTACCAAAAAAAAGGTATTTATTTGTACAATAAAAGTGGTATTCCACTATTCTAGTTGCTGCTCACATTGCTACTCAGAGGTAACATCAATATATCAATAAGTATATATTATTCTAAATAACCATAGGTTCTGGGGCGCCTGGGTGGCTCAGTCAGTTAAGTGTCTGCCTTCGGCTCAGGTTATGATCCCAGGGTCCTGGGATCGAGCCCCACATCAGGCTCCCTGCTCTGTGGGAAGCCTGCTTCTCCCTCTCCCACTCCCCCTGCTTGTGTTCCCTCTCGCTGTGTCTCTCTCTGTCAAAGAAATAAATAAAATCTTAAAAAAAAAAAAGAAGAAGAAAAAGAAGAAGAGGGATTGAGTGGCACCTTGAGTGGGGAGAGCCCAGGGAAGCCTCCAAGAAAAGACCAAGGGGGTCCTGCTCCACTGTCTCAGCGCCCCTCACTCACTCACCTCAGCCTCGGCCAGACTGATCTGCCTCTCCAGGTCCTCAGGAACCATTTTCCCTCTGGAAAAGAAAACTGATTGGGTAAAGAAGTAATTGGTTTTCTCAGCTGGGAGGCAGAACTGTTGAGAGCAGGGTAATGTGGGGTTAGGTACGCAGAGGCCATAATGTTGATCTTTTCCTAAGACGGGTAAGCGGACATCAGGGGACAGGGCGAGAGACTCCAGCAGGCATTGATAGACAGAAGGGGCAACTGTGTAGGAACAGAGAGGGGAGAAAAGCCCACTTGGGGCATGGGCCTGAGGCCAGAGCTTCTGGCAGCAGGAGGGCACGCTGTGCTAGGCTGGGTCTGAGCCATGTGAACAGAAGGACTTTACCTCTCATCTGTCTTGACTACTCGGACACTGTTGGTGCCAAGTCCCAGAAAAGCAGCTCCCTTCTTGATGGAGTAATGACACTATGGAGAAAGGCAGAGGGCAGATTAGGCTAGGGGCAGGAGGGCAGGGAGGAGAGAGAGAGACTGGTAAACGTGTGAGCTGCAACAGGTAAGACTCTGAAGACCAAGGCTTCTCGAATGTTCGAATGTTCATGTGCCTCCAAATCACTAGGGTGTCTGATTCAAATGCAGATTCATATTCAGTGGGTCTGGGGTGGGGCCTGAGAGTCTGCATTTCTGACAAGCTCCCAGATGATACTGCTGCCACTGGTCCACAGACCACACTCTGAGTAGAAAGGGTGCGGACTATGTCTGTGGCACTCATTGTCCCTTTGCTACCTCCACTCAGAAGGCAAGGTGAATGGGAGCGTTTACTCGGCCCCTTGATTGGAAGGAAGCACTTCTGCTTGGAGGCAGGCTGGCCCTGGAGATGGGTCTGGGCAGGCAGACTCAGCTGGCTGGACATTAGCATCAGGAGCCCAGGGTAGGTCTATGCCTCTTCCCACCTCTTTTGATGTGAAGAGTGCCAGGGGCGGCAGCGCCCGGAGGCCCCTCTGCTTGCAATCCGGGTAGCGCTGATAGCGGGCCAGGTTCACGGCATACATGTTGGAGATGGAGCCACCTGTCGCAGGGAAGGTGGCAAGAGGGAGGAGCAGTGGGTCAAAACTGGAGCTTGCTCCCCCTGACCTCTCCACCCAGGAGAGCTGATCAAAGAAGCATGAGTGATAGGCTCCCAGGGCTCTCCAAGGGCCTGCTGATAACCCCGAACAGCCCCGGGGTTCGCAGATCCCCCGGACTACTCCCCTCCATATCCTGGGCTGACCCAGGACAGGGCCTCCCCTCCCCAGAGCAGGCACTGGAGTGCGGATCCCATGGACTGTTGGCAAACATGAGGATACAGGGGACTGGGCAGCTCCTCTCAGGTTTGGCCCCAGCCCAGCTGGAGAGGAAACAAAGAGGAATCACCCCTCCCTGCCAGCACAGAGCAAGAAAATCGTGGGGGAAGAGGAACCCTCAAAAAGGCCAAAGAGAGCCCCCCCTCCTTCTCACATACCAGGGCAGAAGACCCCATCCCCAGAGCTCCAGCCCACCAGGGCCCGGAGTTTCTTCAACACCTCTTCTTCCATGAGCACAAACACGGGGGCGATTTCGTAAGTGTACCTGCCGGGAGAAGGGATGAGAAGGGAAAAGAGGAAGGAAGGCTAGCCGGGTCCAACTCTCAGAGGAGTAGGGAAAGGAGGTGGGGACAATGAGGGAGGAAAGGTCCACAGGGAGGAATGACCTGGTGACCAGGAGCCAGGGAAACAAGAATGAGGAAGAACTGGGAGTCAGGAGGCATGAGAAAGCTGGGAGAAAGGGAGCCCGAAGGGTACAAGACTGCCAGCAGAGATGCCAGGAAATGTGGGGGTGGGGGGGTGGAAAACCATTCTCCTCCCTACCCCTGGGGTATGTCTCCAGCAAATCCAAGCCTTTGCAAGGTGGGGGGAAGGGGCCTCACGATGACTCACTGGCTGGTGTTGAGGCTCTCAGTGACAATGCGCCCCGCCAGAGCATGGGGATCCAACCCTGAGAAGAGCTGGTTGAAGAAGTGCGGGTGACCTGGAGAAGGCAGGGGGTGGGGGGCAGGGAGCTCAGAGTGCAGCTGTGGACGGACAAACGGACAACTCCAGACACTCCTCCCGCTGCAGCCCAGGACCCACAGGTCTTCACACTATAGCGGATCACCTCCCGGCACCGTGCCAGGATCTGCTCCGACGCCTCGCCCTGGCTGCGCAGCTCCAGGTCCAGCAGCTGCTTCAGCTCCTCAGGCTCCTTCCACTCGCAGACCTGGCGGGAGAAGCGGGAGGTTCTGGGGGCCCGTGGACACCCCCCATTGACTGGCTGACCAAACCACCTCTCAGCTTGCACATAAAACGAGTTAGGAATATTTCCAAAGCAACTCATGAACAAGGGTAAATATACACAGTATGACCCAGCATATAATCCCTGATGCATTCAGCGAGACAGTGATGAATTCTGGGCCAAAGCCTTGTCGGAGGAGGAAAGCTCTGAGCCAGGAATGATGGGCAGGAGGAGGGGGAAAGGACCCACCTTCTCGGAGGCACTGGTCCCTTTCCGAATGACCTCATCCACAACAATCCCAAACACATCCCGGAGCAAGGCTTCTGCAGCCATGGGGTCCCCATCAAGGGAGAAGAGTGGTTTAGAGTCAGCCATCAGGATAAAATCTGTGAGCAAAGCAGGAGTTACTTCCTACTCAGCCCAGTGTATCCCACCTGGACCTAACCAGCAAGAACCGCAACCGCAGAGCAGGCCCACAGCCCCTATCCTGCAGCTGAGTCCCAGCCTTCGCTGTACAGACAAGGGCAAGCAAATGCCCAGGGAGAACGTCAGTAGCAACAGGTGGGGAAGAAAAAGGCAGTGAGTGCTGAGCAGGTGGAAACTTGCGGTCACTGCCTGCCTCAGGCAAAGACGACAGGCTTACCTTTCCACTCAGATCTCTGTTCAGGTGAGCTGGAGGCAGGGCACACGACTAGCTTTTGAGAGTGTTAGGACCAGGACAGCGCAGGGAGTGAGGTATAGGCAGCACTCACATGACCATGAGCTCACTCTCATGACCCTTGCCCTGAAGAGAACTTAGAGATTTGGGATAGGGACAACTGGTTAAGTCCCTGAATAATCATTAGCTGACACGAAGAAGGGGGAAATGCAATGAAAGGCAAAAACATTAACATCAGGGTTGAGAGAGTGGCCAGGAAGAATCACTGTGAAGCTGAGGGCTGGAGAGGGGACTTAGTGGAGAATGTCTGGCAGGAAGCTGCTGCCCCTGACCCTGGAGACAGAAGGGGAGGGAGCCTGAGATAGGTGGAGGTGAAATGCTTTATCTCTTTGCACCCTCACCCCCAGAGAACCAGCCTGATTTCTAAAGCCCTCTCCTAGAGCAGGAAGGAAAGGGGGTTATGTTGAGTAAGGACTTTGTTAAACAAGTGTGATCCTGGGCCTTGCAGGCTGAGAGTGCTCAATACACAGAAAATGGTTGTCTGAAGTGAGCACCAACTGTGTTCACGACAGGGTGCCGGGGACTGAGGAAGTCTCCCTGTCTGCTGGGAGGGCACAGATGCATGTGCAGCAGTCCCAGCCTGGGCTAGGCTGGATGCTGACCCCACGTGCTACTGAGGAAGAGAGGAGATGGATGGAGGACGGCAGCTGAAGGCTGGGGAAAATCTGCAGCGGGGCTGGAGCTGAATCTTGAAAGAAGGCAGGAGAAATGAGATTAGCAAAAGGGAGAAAGAACATTTGGGGGTAAGGTGATGCCATGAGCCAACATGGGGAAGAAGTATGGCTTGAGGGAAGGTCAATGAAGGCGCCTGGCTGGCTAGAGGGAGGTTTGCAAGGATGATACTGGAGCAAAGGCGGGGTGGGCAGAGTTGTATCAGATTATGGGGAGCCCTGAGCCCCAGCCAGGCCCAGGGATCTAGATTTTATCCTGCAGAAAACAGGAACTCATTGGGGCGCCTGGGTGGCTCAGTTAAGTGTCTGCCTTCAGCTCAGGTCACGATCTCTGGGTCCTGGGACGGAGCCCCATGTGGGGCTTCCTGCTCAGCGGGGAGTGTGCTTCTACCCCTCCCCCTCCCACTCGTGCTCGCACGCTCTCTCTCTCTCTCAAATAAATAAAAGCTAAAAAAAAAAAAGAAAGAAAGAAAAAGAAAATAGGAACTCACTGAAAGACGAAAGACTTGGTGGCAAGGAATAATGTGATGAAAATGATGCTCAGACCAGTATACAGCACAGGTTGTAGAATTCACAGGGTGTTGCTGTAAACCAGGCAAGAAGCGATCCACATCTGAATAAGGGTGGTATGGGTAGGAAAGGACAGAGGAATGAGGAGGTCGGCCCAAAGCTCTGATGAGCTGCTAGAACAGAAAGTGGATTTGAGAGTCAAGGTACTGCTGAAGCCTTGTAACGGGCTCCATTCCCCATGGGAGAAAATGTTCGGAGAGATGGCCAGGAGGAGGGGAAAACACTAAGGCCTAGGAACCCCCCAAATGAGCAGGCGAGAGGGTCAAGGGAATATGAAGAAGAAACTTCCTCAAAGTGGGCTGCTCTGATTTAATCCACTGTCAGCAGCCACTGGACCCCACACTAGTTGAAAACACAGGTTCAAGGAACCCTAGCAGTCCAACCCTTAAACTTTTCCTCAGTAGATTGGGTTTGGGGGAAAGAGGGGAGCTGGCCCAAACCCTGAGAATGAAAGAGCCAATCCTTTATCAGTGTCACTTTAGCTCCCCTGACAGGTGGCAGCAGGGGGGCATTTGGGTGGAGAGGCTTGAGGGGGAGAAGCAAAGATAGGTACCAACGAAGCACTTCCCACATGCCACACTCTGTACTTAATATGTATTATTATCATCTTTATAACTGTTTAGGGTAAGTTTATTGCCCACATTTAAACTGAGATTCCAGAGATGCTATGTATGCAACTGGTTCAGATCACGCAGCCAGCACCTGGCTACGCTGGGTCTGAACCCAGGCGTGGTGGGCTCTGAAGCCCCTGCCCCTAACCATCATGCTTGATTGCCTCTTTCAAGGCTCTCTCAGGCCCTGAGTTTGCTGTGCTGCAAAGACCACTGGGCCAGGAGTGAGGACACCTCAGGGCCTCCGTTTCTGTAAAATAAGGAGTTTTCAAGAGAGACCCTCCAAGGCATCTGCTGGTGTTCACAGGAACTCAGGCCAGGAGATATGACAAGCAGGCCAAGGGAGAATTTTCTGACAAAGCGGGAGTAGAAAACAGGTTGCAAGAGGTTTGTAAGGAGGGAACAACTGGTTAACAAAGGGAGTCTCCTAGTAGGAGGGACGCTTTTCCCCAAGCTCCGAAGAATGGGTCTCTAGGGGACACTCCATCCTCCCCTCCCAGGACCTTCTTTATCCTTTCCACCTCAGTCACAGCTCAGAAATGAAATCTGGAGGGCTCTGAACACTCCCAGTTTCTTCCAGGGATAAACAGAGAAGTGAGACATCACCATCCTTGTTCCACATACAGAATCCTGCCCTGGGTACCTGAGAGAGGGAAGAGCCCCTGCCTGCAAAGAGTTTTTTTTCTTTTTTTTAAATTTATTCATTTGAGAGAGAGAGAGCTCACATGCGCGAGCGTGGGAGTGGAGGGAGGGGCAGAGGGAGAAGGAGAGAATCTTCAAGCAGACTCCCCACTGAGTGCAGAGCCTGACTCAGGGCTTGACTCAGGGATCAATCCCACAACCCATGAGATCATGACCTGAACCGAAACCAAGAGTTGATGCTCAACCAACCGAACCACCCAAGAGTTTTTCTTTTCCGTTTATTTATTTTAATTTTTAAAAAAGATTTTATTTATTTGACACAGAGAGAGAGAGAGAGAGAGAGCACAAGCAGGGGGAGCGGCAGGCAGAGGGAGAAGCAGGCTCCCTGTTGAGCAAGGAGCCCGATGTGGGGCTCGATCCCAGGACCCTGAGATCATGACCTGAGCCGAAGGCAGACGCTTAACCGACTGAGCCACCCAGGCACCCAGAGGTTTTTGTTTTTTTTTTTAAAGAAGAATGATGTTAACTGGCAAAATAGAATGATAAAGCAAAGAAACATGAATGGAGTTAGGAACAGGGCTTCAGCCCCAGGCTGAGAAGATGCTTGGTAGGACCAAGTAGGGTTTGTTAAGAAATTCATGTTTCTTCCGACGTCATGGGATCTCTAGTCCATCAACTCCTCTAACCATCAACTCCCTCATATCTTTCTTTCCTTTGCTTATGCAACCTAGATTGTATGTTTTGTTGTTTCAACCACTCTTTGTGCAAAATCCTCAACTCCTCGGCCCTTTGGTCCTCCACCAAACCCACCTGGGGAAACTCCAATCCAACTGACCAACGTTTCTCTTACCAAATCCACCAGGACTGCTGGATTCTGCTACTAAAAGCCACTCAACCATTCAAATTGCTATTGCTATACATTCATGGTCTCTGTGCTCATTCCAATTAAACACAGCAGATTAAATACCTGTGTTTACCACTGTTCCTTCCTGAAACCCAACTAAAATTATGTCAGTGGAATTTTAAATCCAGAAGAATAAAGCAAATGAGGAGAGATGAGAGCTGTCAATAATCGCAGAAGACAGAAAGCAGATGAGAAGTGGTAACTGGTTTAGCACACGGCAGAAAGCCAAAACCAGTATGTCCTTGTAAGGCTATTGCTGATGGGAAACAAGCTGGTTCTTGGGGCAGAAGCCCAGAAAGCCTCAGGAATTGGAAACATTAGCCATCTTGGAAGGCAGGAAGGAGTTGTAGAAGTGTGTATAAGGAACAATTAGACCCTCACTCTCCCCCCCTACCTATTTAGTCAGGCAACAACCCTCCTTTCCCCCACTGAAACAGGTAGGGTGGGACTTAGGGAGGCCAGGACTTAGAGACTTGAGGCACAGCAGGTGAGCATGAGGCACTGCACCAAATACAAGAGGATTAGGAGGAAGTTACTATCAAATCAACTCCTTTCTCCTAACCAACATTCAGAACCAGCGGCCAGGGGTAAACCCTCCAGGGCCAGCAGACTAGAGGATTCCTCTCTGGAGAAATTGACCTTGATAGCCCTGGAGAAAAGACCTCCTGATGCTCTTATTTCAGTCCTCACCTGATCTCCTGGTCAGTGGTGCCCACAAGTTAATATGGCCTATCCATGCACTTCGGCCTTCCAGTATGCCTTCATGCCTTCCTCTTCAATGTGAGCAACCAGCCAGCCAGAAATTACCAGACACTACAGGAAAGCCCCTAATCTGAACCACAGAGGTAAAAACAGGCAAACTGAAAAAAGGCATTTGGTGGAAGAAAAGAAATGCAGGGAGCAGAAGAAAGCCTCAAAATTTCCAGAAGATATTGCATTCATTAAAAAATAGGTCGCCCTCAAAAAGGAATACTCAGAGAACAGGAAGAAACTCTAGGATTTTAAAAATATGACAACTGAAATGAAAAATTAGAAATAAAACGATGCCAAGAAAATCACACAGAAAGATAAAAATATAAAGAGATGGACAAAGAAAAGAACTTTAGATCAATCCAGAAGGCCCAATAGTCAAGTAATAGAAATTTCCAAAAAGGAAGGAAAAAAGGGGAAAGAAATCAAAGAAAGCTTTATAGAACAGAAGGATAGATTAAAAGGATCCACTGAATGACCAATATGAAGATAGATTATAATATTGTCTTAGAACAGTGGAAGATCCAAAGACTTCCAGAGATAAAACAAATAAACCAAAACTGGGTCATAGACAAAAGACAGAGAATCAGACCAAATCGAACACCTCCAACACAGGAGAGAGGTGAAGGGAATCCAAAGGGCTGTAATGAAGGTAGTAACCATATTCAGAGGATAACAGCACTCAACCTTTTGTTATCTGCCCTCTGGGTCGCCCCCTTCTCTTCCTCCCTTCCTTCTTTCAATATTTGTTCAGTATCTAGTATTTGCCAAGCACTTTGGTAGCCACTAGAGATACAATGGAGAGCAAAAGACATAGACCTTGGGGTGCCTGGCTGCCTCAGTCAGTGAGTTCAAGTCCCATGTTGGGCATAGTGCTTACTTAATAAAACAAAAATTAAAAAAAAAAAAAAAGAGGAAGAAAAGGCCATAGCTCTGTCCTCATGAAGCTCACAGTCTAAGCAAGGTCACCGGTGAGCCAACTCTCACGCAGAGGTGGTTTGTTTGGTTTGCATAGTATGTTGTTGTTGTTTTTAAGTAATCTTTATGCCAACGTGAGGTTCAAACTCATGATCAAGAGTCACATGCTCGGGCGCCTGGGTGGCTCAGATGGTTGTCTGCCTTTGATGAATTAAAAAAAAAAAAAAAAAAAAAAGCGTCTGCCTTTGGCTCAGGTCATGATCCCAGGGTCCTGGGATCGAGTCCCGTATCAGGCTCTCTACTCCTTGGGATCCTGCTTCTCCCTCTGCCTCTCTCTCTCTCTCTCTGTCTCTCATGAATAAATAAATAAAAAGTTTAAAAGAAAAAAAAAGAGTCACATGCTCTATCAACTGAGCCAACCAGGCACCCCTCTTTTAAAACTTTAAAAATAATTGTCAATACTGAAACTTCCAGCTTCTTGTAAAAAAAACAAAAACAAAAAACAGAAGGCCTAGCAACAGTAGGCCTAAATTAATAAATAGCAACAATCGCCTGTAATTGGAGTTGCCCTTTATTATTATTGTAGTTTTACATTCGTTATGCTTTCTTTCCACTTTATTCTTTTTTTTTACAGATTTTATTTATTTATTTGACAGACAGCGAGAGTAGGAACACTCTCTGGGGAGTGGGAGAGGGAGAAGCAGGCTTCTCGCCGAGCAGGGAGCCCGATGCGGGGCTCAATCCCAGGACCCCAGGATCATGACCTGAGCTGAAGGCAGACGCTTAACCGACTGAGCCACCCAGGCGCCTCCTGCAATTTTTTTATTTTTGAGTAAGCAATACATTCAGGTAGCTCAAAAATCAAAATATATAAAAATATAAATGGTGAAAGTCTAATTCCCACCCCATTCCATGTGCCCCATTCCCACCTCCACCCCCACAGGTAACCATTTTTAATAGTTTTAATAGTTTAACAGTTTCTTGGGTAACCTTTCAGAGTTTTTAATGCAAATACTAACAAATATGGATATGTATTCTTATTTTCTCTTTTTACACAAATGATATTGTAGCATATATCAGCACTTCATCCCCTTTTATAGCCAAATAATATTCCATAATGTGGATACACTGCATTTTATTTAACCATTCACCAACCAATGGACATTTGGGTTCTGTCTATGTTTTGGCTACTGTGAACAGCGCTGCTATGAACATTAATGGACAAGTTTTTGTGTGGGTACATGTTTTCACGTCTCCTGGGTACATACCTGATAGTGGAATTGCTGGGTCATACGGTAGCTCTGTGTTTCAAATTTGAGGAACAGCCAAACTGTTTTCCAAAGTGCCAGTACCATTTTATATTCCCATCAGTAATGTACGAGCGTTCTAATTTCTCCACATCTTTGCCAGACTTATTATTATCTTTTTTATTACAGCCACCTGCATTTGTAATTTTGATAAGGATTGCCAATATCCAGAGATTGTACCAGCGTATCAAAGTGCTTGCGTTCTTAGACTCAGTAGCAGAGTATGCTGTCAAACTTCTGAATCTTTTTAGTTTGAGGAGTAAGAAATGGTATCTTAGTATGGTTTTATTTTGGTTGAACACCTGCATCAGTCAGTTTTGCTGTGGTAACTAATGGCTTCAAAATCCCACTGGCTTGCAACAACAGAAGTTTATCTCTCTTCCCTGGTTTATGTTGGTGGTGTGGTTGGCTACAGCTCTGATTCGTGTGCCTTTATTCCAAGACCCAGGCTGAAGGAACAGCCCCTATCTGGGACATAATGTTCTCCTGGCAGGAGGAAAGGAGTAAAAGGCAGAGAAAACCATGCAACGACTCTTAAAACCTCTGCTCCTATCTGGCGTAGGGCACATCTGCTCACACCCTGTTGACCATGGCAAACCCCAGGGCAGTGGGGTGAGGATGTATATTCCTCCCACAGGCGGGCACTGCAAAATTAATGGCAATAGGTGAAGATGTAAACTCTCATCACAAGGTCATTGGACATAAGCCCTTAAAAGTTTGCATTCTGGGGGCGCCTGGGAGTCTCAGTTGGTTAAGCATCTGCCTTTGGCTCGGGTCATGACCCCAGGGTCCTGGAATCGAGCCCCACATTGCACTCCCTGCTCGGTGGGGAGACTGCTTCTCCCTCTCCCTCTGCCTGCCGCTGCCCCTGCTCTTGTTCTCTCTCTCTGTCTCTCTAACAAATAAATAAAATCTTAAAAAAAATTTTTTTTTTGTATTCTGTTTCGCCTCAGTCCACACCAGCCCACCGCACTCATTTGCATTACCTGCCTGGCCCCGTAGACATCTGAGTTGGAACCACTGGCCGAACCACTGGCCTAACCACTGGTCTAACCACTCTCCTTTTCCTCAGGGATTTCCTCCTGATTATCCCCTCTCATTTCTTCAACTCTCCTTCCTACTACCTCTTTCTCACAGCATTTTAAATTGTTTAAACCTCTCACATGTTCCCACTCTAGCCACCTCCTCATCACCACCAACCTTCTTAAAAGAGTCATCTCGACTCCATCTTCGCTTTCCCTCCTCTCACACTTTCCTCAGCCCACCAAGTCACTAAGAACTTCCAAATCCCATGGACACACATCACCTTTATCCTAGAAACATTTTATTGCCCTGGCTTCCATTGGATTACCACCAGCCCTTTCTTAGTTCCCTTTGCATTCTCACCTTCCTCTGGCCCTCCCTGAAATGCTAGAGTCCCTTGGGGCCCTGTCCCAGGGCCTCTTTCATGTTGTATTCTGCACCACTCCCTAGGCAATTGATCTGTTCCTAGGGCTACCTGCTGGTAGCTCCTCCATTCCAAACCTCTCTCCTGAGTCCAGGTCCATGAAGCCACCTTCCTAATTTAGAAGACTCAAGGGCACTTCATACTCAGTAGGTCCAAAATTAAACTCAGTATCAGCCCTCTCAAATCTGCTCTTCTTCTTAGGTTCCCTGGTTTGATGAATGCCATCATCTTCTACTGGTTACTCAAACTTAGATTCTGACTGATTTCTTGCCTCCTCATCCTTGACTGATTTTTTTTTCCTTTTCATTTAATCTTCAAATATTGTTACATCTTTCTCTCTCTCTCTCATTCAAAAACATCAGCACAATAGCAAAACCTGAATAAAGCTTCACTTTTTTCCCTTAGGGCTCTGTTGTAAAATTCTTTTCCTTAAAAACACTTTACGGGGCGCCTGGGTGGCTTAGTCATTAAGCGTCTGCCTTCGGCTCAGGTCATGATCCCAGGGTACTGGGATCGAGCCCCACATCGGGCTCCCTGCTCAGCGGGAAGCCTGCTTCTCCCTCTCCCACTCCTCCTGCTTGTGTTCCCTCTCTAGCTCTCTGTCAAATAAATAAAATCTAAAAAAACAAACAAACAAAAAACAAAAACAAAAACAAACACTTTATAGTGGAGAAACCTGGGGGACACCACCTTACCCAAATGATCAAGGCAACATCACCAATAATGGGACAGACTGACATATGGCCCTCCTAATGTGAGGCATTGAGAAGCACTCAACATCACTCCTGTCACATTTCTGCCAAAAATGCATAACCCAAATTTAATTGTGAGGAAACAGATATATCTAAATTGAGGGTCATTCTACAAAACAACTAACCTGTTACTTTTCAAAAATGTAAATGTCATAAAACTCAAAGAAAGACTGAAGAACTATTCCAGAAACAGAGACATCACAATCAAAAGGAATGTGTGAACTTAAATCAGCTCCTGGATGAGGAAAAAAAAAAAACCTGCTATGAAGAACATTACTGGAACAACTGGTGGAAGCTGACTATGCACGGCATCATAAATATTAGTATTCTATCAGAGTTAAATTTCCTTAATTTGATCATTGCACTGTGGTTATGTAAGAGAATGTTCTTATTCTGAGAAAACATACTGAAACATTTAGCAGAAAAGGAGTATATCTGCAACTTTCTCTCCGTTCAGAAAAAGACAACACTGTATGTATTTACAGGCATTTTTAGAAGAATAACAGCTTTATTGAGATATGATTCACATACCATAAAGTTCACCCTTTTAGATTGTACAATTCAGTGGTTTTTTTTTAGGATACTCACAAAGTTGTGCATCGTTCACACTATTTAATTCCAGAACATTTTCATCACCCCAAAGAGAAACCCCATACCTATTAGCAGTCGCTACCCATGCATTTTTTAAAAGACTGAAAAAGATGGAAAAAGCTTTCAAAGTATTATTTATGGTTATGCCTGGCTGTCAAAATTATAAATTATTTTCATTTTCCTATTTATACACTTATACTTTTATAATTTTATATGATAACTTCATATTACTCATATAATTAAAGGTTATTTTTAATCAACAAGAAAAATTAAGGAGGTTAAGGATCAATAAGAACTCCAAAATATACAAATCACCAAGGCTCAAGAATGGCCCTAGTACGTCACGTGGTTTCCCAGCTCTTCAATCCACTATCATCAAAAAGGTCTCACTGGTGACAAAGGTAGCCATATACTGCTCTTTCTATTATGCTGCCCAAATGGCTCTCAGAGAGAGGTACGGGTTCAGCTAGTTCAGCAAACACTGACTCAGTATCTATCCCTGGCACTGGACTACCCAGGAGGGCGGGGGGGGGGGGGGGGGTGTCTGCCCTGTGCGCTCCAGCTAACAGGCAGGCCAGTAGGGACGTGGGCAGACGCACTCGCCACAAAGGAGTGGAATGCTCACAAGGAAAGGCAGGGCTGGTTAATTCTGCTCAGTTGGCTCAGGGCAGCCTTCAAGGGAAAACATTCAGGACTTAAGCGATGGAGAGCTGGTGCAGGAAAAGACTCATCAGTAATCATTACAATACTATTTGAATAACTGATAGGGTGGGCCTGAGGGAAGGGCTGTGCCAAAGAAGTTAGGGAAGGTCACACTGGAGGAGGCCTGCCTGTAGACAAAAAAGATCAGGGCAGTTGCTTTTTTTTTTTTTAAGATTTTATTTATTTGACAGAGAGAGACACAGGAGAGAGCGAACACAAGCAGGAGGAGCGGGAGAGGGAGAAGCAGGCTTCCCACAGAGCAGGGAGCCTGATGCGGGGCTCGATCCCAGGACCCTGGGATCAGGGCCTGAGCCGAAGGCAGACGCTTAATGACCAAGCCACCCAGGCGCCCCAGGGCAGTTGCTTCTTTAAAGCACTTTTGGGGGGCGCCTGGGTGGCTCAGTCTTTAAGCGCCTGCCTTCGGCTCAGGTCATGATCCCAGGGTCCTGGGATCAAGCCCCACGTCGGGCTCCCTCCTCCGCGGGAAGCCTGCTTCTCCCTCTCCCACTTCCCCTGCTTGTGTTCCCTCTCTCGCTCTCTCTCTGTCAAATAAATAAATAAATTCTTTAAAAATAAATAAATAAATAAAGCACTTTTGGCCAGGCTTATTGTTAGAAAATGACAACACTGACCTCCGTACTATCTACATGGTCACAAATCCCACAGACTCAATACCCACATCCATAAAGGCACCAATTTCTCCTTATGTGTAGTGTTTTCTCCCCCTTCTGATTGTAAATTCCTGGGGGTTAAAATCTTATCTTTAAGGAAAGCACTAAATACAAAAGAGGTACTCAAAAAAATGTTAGTTTTCATCCTCCCCACTCTCCTCTCCCTTCCCCCAAGGTCTTGCACAAAGGCACTCAATGAACATCTGGGTGAATCGACCAACTATTTCCAGGTACTGAAAAATAATGCTGCATTCCACTTCCATTTGATTTGCACAGACCAAAAATCTGTATTAACGATACCTTAGAAAACTTGTAAAGGGTTTTTTCTTTCTCAAAACCTTCTCATCTATGACCTCATTTGATCCTCACATTGTGCTGGAAATTAGCCTGAAAGGTATTTATTTCTTCACCCTGGTTTTCAAGATGAGGACTCTCAGTCCAGAGTTAATTTGTCCAAGATTACACAGGTGATATGAGAACAAACCTAGATCTCTGATTTTCTGAATTCTAGGCTAGTACCTCTCCCACTACGCTATTGGTTACTTTTAAGTCTGGCATTTCTCACTACCTCTCACCATACACAAAAATAAACTGCAGCTAAGATAAAGACATAAGCAGAAAATATACAACTATAAGAATGTCAAAAGGAACTACAGGGGGGCACCTGGGTGCTCGGTCCTTAAGCGTCTGCCTTTGGCTCAGGTCATGATCCCAAGGTCCTGGGATGGAGCCCCATATCGGGTTCCCTGCTCAGCCAGGAGTCTGCTTCTCCCTCTCACACTCCCCCTGTTTGTATTCCCTCTCTCCCTCTTTGTCAAATAAATAAATAAAATCTTTAAAAAAAAAAAAAAGGAACTACAAGGAAATATTTTTATAATCTTGAGGTAGTGTCACAAAAACCCAAAAGCCACAGGCAGACTTGACTACATAAAACTTTCAGAATTCTGTGTAAAGAAAGACACCATTAAGGTGGTTAAAGATAACTCATGGCTTTACCCCACCCCTTATTATTTTACCCATTCTGTGTTTTCCACAGTGATTTTTGCTCTCCTTGCAATTATTCTTTTCCGTGAAAATTTTATTTTATTGTAAAATTTTAAAGATTATTTATTTGAGAGAGAGCAGGCGCGGGGAGGAAGAGCAGAAGGAGAAGGAGACTCCCTGGTGAGCAAGGAACCTGACCAGACCAACCATGGGACTCCCAGGGACTAGATCCCAGCACCCTGGGATCATGACCTAAGCCAAAGGCAGACGCTTAACTCACTAAGCCACACAAGCACCCTCTTCCGTGAAAATTTTAAAATCAGGTTAAGTTCCATGCAAAGTCCCATTTTAATTAGAACTTTCCTTAATCGATAGCAAAAACTCATGTCTCTACAAAATTAAGTCTTTCTATTCATGGACATGCTAAAACTCCCCATTTAACCAAGACCTTTTTGTCTTTCACTAAAATAGTCTGATTTTAATACATGACTTGCAGTTTCCTGTCAAATTTATTTCAAGAAGTGTAATATTCTTATTGTGAGATTATTTATTTCATCACATTTTTATGGTTGGTGGTTCTTATATTTTATGTATACAATCTCTGTTAATCTCCCATCTGGCCATACTGCTGAACTCACTAGCTTTAGTATTTTGTCAGTCAATTCTCTTTCTTGATGAATGTATCATATGGAAATAGCGAGACTTTTCAATGGCCAGGAGCTCCAGTACAATGTTAGCTTTGATGGTAAATATTCATGTCTTATTCCTATTTTAAAGATTTTATTTATTTGACAGAGAGACACAGCGAGAGTGGAACACAAGCAGGGGGAGTGGGAGAGGGAGAAGCAGACTCCCCGCCGAGCAGGGAGCCTGACACAGGGCTCGATCCCAGGACCCTGGGATCATAACCTGAGCCGAAGGCAGCCACTTAACTGACTGAGCCACCCAGGCGCCCCTTATTCCTATTTTTGATAGGAACGTTTCAAATAATTTCCTGTAAAGCATAATTTGCCCCCCCCAAAAGGCTGAAAGATAAACAAAAAACTAAGAGAAAGTACTTTAAATGCATATGACAAATAAAAAGTTAATATAACTTAGAGAAGATGCAACAGAAGTTGCTCAACTCCACTACTGGTGACATGCAAATTTAAACAATGAAATTACTATTTTTCATCTATCAAATTGGCAACTGCACTAAAAATTCATAGTATCCACTAGTGCTATGTTATAGGAAATGGGGACATTCACACATGGTTCTGAGTGAGCATGTAAATTGTTACAAACTGAAATTTAGTTTCACAGAATTGATTAAAATTTAAAATGCACAAGGACGCCTGGGTGGCTCAGTCCTTTGAAAGTCCGCCTTCACTCAGGTGAATTTCCCAGGGTCCTGGGATTAAGCCCCACATTGGGCTCCCTGCTCAGCTGGGAGCCTGCTTCTCCCTCTCCCTCTGCCACTCCCCCTGCTTGTGCGCTCTCTCTCTCAAATAAAGAAAATCTTTAAAAAAAAATTTTTAGGGGCGCCTGGGTGGCTCAGTCGTTAGCCGTCTACCTTCGGCTCAGGTCAAGATCCTAAGGTCCTGGGATCAAGGCCCACATCTGGCTCCCTGCTCGGCAGGAGGCCTCCTTCTCCCTCTCCCACTCCCCCTGCTTGTGTTCCCTCTCTCGCTGTGTCTGTCAAATAAATAAAACCTTTAAAAAAAAAATTTTAATGCACATATTCTACCTATAAACCTATAAATGCAAAAGATTAACTATAGGAAGATGTTCCTTATGGCATTGTTTATGTTAAAAAATAATGGAACTAACCTAAATGTTCATCGGGATGAGTCTAGACAAATCAAAGTACAAATATGTTAGACTATTATGTAACAATTGTTAAAATGTTAAAGAACTTAGATATCTACAATGTAACACTAGTGTCCAGCACTGTAGTTGCTCAATAAATATACTCTGGATGAAAAAAAAATTGTATGAATATATAAAAAAGTCTGGAGAGGGGCGCCTGGGTGGCTCAGTCGGTTAAACGTCTGCCTTCGGCTCAGGTCATGATCCCAGAGTCCTGGGATCGAGCCCCACATTGGCTCCCTGCTCCGCGCGGAGCCTGCTTCCTCCTCTCCCACTCCCCCTGCTTGTGTTCCCTCTCTGGCTGTCTCTCTCTCTCTATCAAATAAATAAATAAAATCTTAAAAAAAAAAAAAAAAGAATAAAGAAAAAAGCCTGGAGGTATATTTGCCAAACTGATAAAAGTGACTATCTTCAGGAGCATTGGATAGTAGAAACTTAACATTTATGCTCTTCTATTCTTGTGTGTGCGGACTTGTCAAAATAAGTATGAGCTAATTTTTTTTAATTAAAGACTTATTTCTGATGACGTTTCTCTATTTTTATCTCAATTTTATCATGAATATAAGAGCACAAAGATTTGCTGTCAATGGTTCAAAACATAAAGTGCTCAGGGAAATAAAACCCGAGTACAAAGAGTAGTTGGGAATTCCTCTCTTCCATATTTCTTTTGGCATCTCAACCCTCCTAAACTCACAACCTGACAGCACCGACAGCAGAAGCTGACACATAAATGGATTGACATTTCCTTCCATTAAGAACACTTGGCATAATCCATCTTTAGCGGGACCTCTCCCTAATAGCTCACGCTGGGAGATTCTAAAGAAAAGTTCAAGTTTCCATTTTTTAACGCTGTACCCGGGGGCCACCCTACATCGCTAATGAAACTAGTCTTCTACCAAGGGGAGTCCTATGGCTTTTTCCAGGCGAGAAGGCCAATGTCAGACGCTGGAAGATCTGGAATGAAGGAGTAAGCGGTATTAAGTTAACCAGACCGGCCTGGGGACGCGCCCGGATTGAGTGTACACAGAAGAAAGGTTTAAAGAAAGTTAACTCCTCTCCCAGCTGACTGGGCGGCCCCAGAATCTACAGAGCTGGGCCTGATAGAAAACTCAGATAAAGAGGACCTCGGCTGAGTTACGTGGAAAGGCTGGGTAAGAACTATTCAGGCTCTACTTGGGGCTGCAAGCTCAAATGCAACAGGGAGAACGTCCGCGAAGGGAGACTGATGGCGTTTTTTCAAGGAGCCTCAACCAGCCCACCTAGCAAAACCTAGCAGCCAGCGCACGTCTCTTCAGGGTCTTCACTCCTGCCCTCAGCCAAGATGGCCGCCGGGGCGCGCCTCTACCAAGGCGCACGCGTCGTACCGCCGGTCCGCCCCCTTCCCGTCCTTCCGCGCGCCGGCACCGCCCACTCACCAGCTGCACCCCCCCTCCCAGCGTCCTCAGCCTCACCCCCTTTCTGGCTGCTCCCGCCGGTCCAGGCTCCGAGCCCGGAAGTGGATATTGCTGCTCGGCTGAGAGGACGAGGGGAGGGGGAAGTGCTTCCGGGGAAACGGGCCCCGGGTTGGTGTTTGTAAACTTGCCTCGGTCCCGGCAGGGCAGCGGCGGCCACGGGGTTGGCACGGTGTGCTGGGGCCTGGAGGAGGCGCCGCGCGGGGGGGGAGACAGCGGGAGGCCGCGCCTGGCAGGTAGGAGCACGGCTCAGGGAACGCAGCGTCGTCCGGGCAGGCGGCAGCGCCTCAGCTGCTCGCAGGCCGTGGAGCGCCGCGCGGGAAGGGGGAGGGGAAGGGAGGAGGGGCGCGTGGCGAAGGGAGGGGGCTCGCCGGGGAGGGGCAGGGGCCGCGCGCGCGCGCGCGCGCTCGCACCGCCCCCCGCCCGCCAGTCCGGCCGCGTTAGCGGTCGGGCGGAGGGGGGCTTGCTTGGCGGGGACGCGGGCGCGAGCACGCACCTCGCGCGCTCCTCGGTGCTCTCCTCCGGCTCCGTGCGGCGGGGCGCTGCGGCTGGCTGGCTGGCTGGCTGGCTGGCTGGCTGGCTGGAGGAGGAGGGAGGAGGAGGGAGGAGGAGGGAGGGAACGCGGAGCGCTGGCCTCCGACTGCCTGCCGTCCTCCGCAGCGAGTTTCCGTACCTTCGGGCGGACTCGGAGAACGCGCACGTGTGGGCCGGCCCAGCGCACACTGCCAGTCCGGTTGCTGACTTGCTACTCAGGCGGCCAGCGATAGCCTCTGAGCTTTTCTCCACCCCAGTTCTGGCCTCCTTAATAGAGTGCTAGCTTCGCGGCCCGGCCCACTCGGCACAAAAGCCCCGGAGGGCCTCCGCCCCCTTCTTCTATTCGTAAGATGGCAAATCCAAGCAGTTGGCCTGTTGCAGTCTTCCATGAGAGGCCCCAGTTACTTTTACTCCCGTTGGCAGCCCCTCTTTGCCCTGGAGACCAGTTTCTTCTGACCTAGAAAGAAAACTCTGCTTAACTAATGCCCTCTTCCCGAGGTTCACAGAGAGCGCCTACCAAAAAAAAAAAAAAAAGTTCAGCCTATTGCAGGTCGAATGGCCTGAGAATGTTGCACCTAACAGCCCCATCTCCTTTTCTGGTTTCAGGTTTCTGAAACAGATCGTGAACTTCAAGGAGAGGATTCGGTTGGAAAACGAAGACCAGCAGACTTTTTCTTCAGATCATAGGCAGGAGCCAGGCAGAGTCCAGGGATTCTTGGAACATCTATCTTCTCTTTGGAGGACACTAAGATCTATTTGAAAACAAAGGCAGTTCAATATGGCAGCAGGACTGAAGGGACACAAAGGAGTTGTTACAGTGATTTGGTGACAGTTCTTCAAACAACAGTGTCTTAGGAAAGGTGGATCAAGAAACTCCTGAACTTTTGGGTTGCATTAAGTGAGAAATCAGCATGGCTCAGGTAAAAAGCTATAGAATCCTCCTTCTTCAAGATCACTGGGAAACGTGTTTGCAGTTTCACTCTTGAATGCTGCCCTAGTCAACATATTGACCAACCCAGTGAGCCAAGCTCTGTATTAAGCACCAGGGGGAGATCTAGAGGAAGGAAAGGAGACAGGCCACAGCCCCTGCCTTCAGGGAGCTTCCAGTCAAATGAAGGAGGTAGGCTATTCTGCATCACAGGCACTGATGGGACATTTGTGAAACAATTACTCAGTTTACACTTGGTACGTTAAGTGCTGAGGGGCATGAGGGAGTGAACAGTCTGGTGAATGCTTCATTTTTTTTTTCAACAGGAATTAATTGAGCTCCTGTTACATGCAAGGCATTATGCTGGGGATACAAAGATGAGTACAATTGTCCCCATCCCCAGCAAGCTTCCAGGATAGTTGGGTTGGGTGGGGGGAAATGGAGAGACAGTCTATTATTTACCTTTATATTCACAATGCCTTGCATAGTAGTTGGTTAGCAGCAGAGACTCAATGAATCTGTTGATTGAAGGAACGTGCAATAATAGAGGTATGTACACTGCAGAGGAGAGAGAAGGGTACCTCTGCCTGGATGGAAAAAAGCAGGTGAAGCTTGAAGAATGCATAGGATTTTGCTAGATAAACAAGCAGAACAGGACATTCAGACAAGGAGAACTGCATGGGCAGAGGCTTAGAGGCATGGGAGAATGTGATGAGGTTAGGAGTACTACAGATAGTTTGCTAGTTAAAGAGGAAGGGGCTTAAATGGGTTGGGGGATAGGGTAGGTAGTGATAGAGAGAAAAGTTAGGGTGAGGGAGTTGTTTCCTGGAGAAGTTAAGAGTATAACCCAAGGGCTTTTTATGCCTTGCTAAGGAATTAGACTTTATTCTGAACGAATGGGAACTCTCTGAAGAATGTTAAGCAGCAGAGTGACGTCAGATCAGTGTATTTAGAAGGTAGTTGTCATTGTGAGGGGAGAGGATGGATTGGAGAGACAGGGTGATCTGTTAGGTTGCTATTAAGTGTGGATAGCAAAGCCATGTGCGGGCATCCCCAGAGCCTCTCCCAGCTTTCTTGCAGGGACCCTCCTGTACCAGTCTCACCAGGATGGCAGCCTGATTAGAGTATAATTGGCTTTCTTCCAGCTGCATGTATGGCTTCCTTCTTTCCTTGCAGATTAGGAGCCCTCGGTTTTTTCTTCCTTTGTTTGCAACCCACTTCACGGCATCATGTTCACTCTTGTTCTGAGAAACTGCCTCTCACTAATCACTAACTTTGTACTGGGCACTGCTAGGCATTTGTATCTTAGTTTTATTCTCATCAACCCTGGGAGAGTAGATACTCTCATAAACATGTTGCATTTAAGGAAACTGAGGCCTGAAGAGGTGGAGTAATTTGCCCAAGATTATACAGTACAAACAGCAGAGCTAAGCTTTCCACCTCTAGACCTTTCTGTCCAAAGTCCTTGAAGGAGAAAGAAAAGAAGGGGTCCCAGGATATACTAAAAGGAATTTCTTTTTTTAAGAGAGTATTTTTAAAAGGAATTTTTTAAATAAATCACTTGTGGAAGTCTGCTGATCAACTATTTCTTTAAAGGGTTTCTTCAAAAAAAAATTTTTTTCAGTAAGAAAAGTATATTCTCTAGTGCTGGCTAAACAAAGTCAGTTTGAAGAATGTAGCCATGAAAAGAGGAAATTTTTTTAATCATTCCTTGTTTAAGCAATTTTTAAACTATGCATAAAGTAGAGAATGTGAAAATATATGGATTTGCACACAAATAAATGGCCTTGGAGGTAAGAGAAAGTGATACTCAACCCTAAAATCCTTCCAGGGCACTTAATTTTTATTTCTGTTAAAATTGACTACACCTAGGGAATTTAAAATCTAAAGGGAGAAATAACCTAGTTTTGCTGATAAACATGCTTTTGGGACCTGATAGAATATATATTTGGCACCAGTGATGTCTGCCAATCATAACTGGCCTCTGAACCTGCTGGTGAGAGAGGAAGGAGGAAGTTCTGCTAGAAATCTCCCATTTCAGTGGATCAGCAGGGCAGACCCTCCTGCCCATTCACAAGGCCAAGTACTTGGTAACAGGTCCTAGCACACTGCTAATGACAAAAGTGTCAATAATACTTGGTTATTCACTTGATTTGTATTTAAACGCTGATGTATAACAAGTAACTTGTTCCTGGTGAGGTGAGTTAGGGAGGACTCTTGAAGGAAGCAGAGTTTAGCAGTAGAGAGGGACACTCCCTAGAGAAGCAGTTTGTTTGTGGCTGGGTGTGAAAGGTAGTTCTATAGAAGATGGCAGCCTGTTTTTGCCCTGCCCTGCCAGGTGACCTGACACCTCATCTCCTTTCAACTTAGGCAAGTCTCCTGGCTTGTGAAGGCCTAGCAGGTGTGAGTTTGGTTCCCACTGCAGCCAGCAAGAAGATGATGCTGAGCCAGATTGCCAGCAAGCAGGCCGAGAATGGAGAGCGGGCAGGTAGCCCTGATGTGCTGAGGTGCTCAAGTCAGGTACAGCGTTTGAGTCCGTTGTGGCACCTGGGGGTCGGGTGGCCCAAGCTCTCTGCCAGGAGATGCCAAGCTTTGATTCCTCAGTGCTTCTGTTTAGGGAAGTGGGGAAAAGGGATCCAGCTGGGGAATGAATGAATGTGGGTATTTTAGAGAGCTAAGGAAGGGCTTTACCTATAACTCTTTAACACCACAGTACTCGGAGAGGAAATGGATGAGTACCTTCTCTAAACCTTTGGGGCAGGTGGTTACTGTCATTTAGAAGTTGTCTGCAGCACAGCATTTGGTTTCCTGTCTTGTGTGGGGAGATAGACTATGAGTTTAGCTTTGATTTATTTTAAAAGGGCCACCGAAAAGACAGCGATAAGTCCCGGAGTCGCAAAGATGATGACAGCTTGGCTGAGGCCTCTCATTCAAAGAAGACTGTTAAAAAGGCAGGTAATGGGGTAATCCCCAAACTGGTACCATTTGTAATGGCGTAATTCTCCTTTTCTTTCGTCTGTGGCTCAACCTAGAGTTTTCCCTAGATGTTTTGGTCACTCATAGCCAATGAGTGTGTCACTCTTATTTCCTCCATAGGCCACTTTGGTCTTTGATCTCTGCCCTCTCCAGAACATCCTTGGTAAAGGAAGGAGGGCCAGGGAAGCATGGGATCCTGTGACAAAGGGGCAGGCAGACCTCCCTCAGGTCATATTCAGAGGTGTTGGGTTTGATGGGGCAGACAGTTTACCCATGCCCACCTCCTCCTTCAGAGGGTCTCTTAATCTCTTAACTCTAGGGAATGAGGGAGTTGACAACATCAAAAAGATTACTTTGTCCAGCAACTGGAAATTGACCCAGAGTAGAATGGGGACAAAAAGGCGGCTGAGGGATAGCCTTATGACATGCCTGATTGTTGCCCCTAGGTGGTGGTAGTGGAACAAAATGGTTCTTTTCAAGTAAAGATTCCCAAAAATTTTATTTGTGAACACTGCTTTGGAGCCTTTAGGAGCAGTTACCACCTCAAGAGGCACATCCTTATTCATACTGGTAAGTCTCTTGCTCATATTCAGTAGTCTGTAGTTGTGTGTGTGTAGCTCTTACTGGGTTTGTTTTAGGGGCTGAGTTTCAGAAATAGAGGAAGAAGATAAGTGAATTAGCTAGAAAGATTTTGTGGCTCTGTATCTAGTGTCAGAGACCGACGGCTTTGGGGATCTTTCCTCATTAGGTGTCTGTACATTGCTAAAAATTAAAACTTTCTGGGAGGGGCGCCTGGGTGGCTCAGTTGGTTAAGCAACTGCCTTCGGCTCAGGTCACGATCCTGGAGTCCCGGGATCGAGTCC